CGCATTTATCTATAAGAATTTAACAAGGATTGCATACTCTATAATTATCTCTCGATCTCTTATAATGTCTATGTTAATTATTATACAATCTAGAATTATACATCACCTCTCGATCTCAATATTATCCTTAAATCAATTAATTGTGCAAACAATTAAAGCATTAAACATACAATAATTGATTAACAAGTATGAAAATGACATGAAAATCTTGAAATTAAATATATAATAAAAACCTTAAGCTACATAATCCATCCTAACGTAAAAATATTTAGTCACTCATAATGTTGAAATTAAACACATAAAACTGGAATGACATTGCCAAAAATTGACGGAACGTGTTGCCAGCCAATTTCCTTCACTTTCTGTGCGTCCAAATCAGCTGCCCAATGAGTCTGTGTATATATATGTCAATTTCAGCCTCGGTTTTCCACTTTCTGCCTCCTTTGCTTTTGCGTGTATATATAAACAATCTAAGCCCATGCTTTCTTCCCAGAAGCAAGCCGGATTTTGCATGAAAATATATAATAAACTGCTGCCCCTATTCTGCACTTTCGGTCCGTGTGTATGTGTGTGTGTGTGTATATATGAATGCAACGGTCCCTGTTTTTCCCAATTAGCTGCCTCTGTTTGTGTGTGTATATATAATGTATCTCTTGCAGCCGGCTTCTCTGTGCTTGTCTAAATATATTTCAAGGTCAGCCTCTTTTTTTCTTTCCCAAAAGCTACTTCCTGTGTGTGACTAAAAATCTCAAAGGCTCGCTACTTTTTGAATTCTTTCCGCGGAAGAAATTGGAACCGCAGCCACAATTGCTCTCTATTTCCTCCAAAAGCTACCGGCCACTTCTCCAATTTTTGCCTGTGCGTGTGTATCTCCAATATATATTGCAGCCAATGTGTAGTCCAATCTTGAAAGCCCAAGTTTGAAGCCCAGTAAATTTCAATACCAAATTAAATTATTTCTTCTTTCCAAGTCTTCAATTCTTTTATGTATTGCAAGTTGATCCTTAAAACAATTTTATTTGTGCAGCCCATGCCAATTTAGTCCCCGTACTTTGGATTTTGCCATTTTTTGCTATTTTGCATTATTTTCTTCAATTTTTCATTAAACATAAAGTTTTACCTACAAAATATAGTATAACATAAATTAGGTAAAATTTTATTTAATAAAAATAAAATATTATGATTTAGAGCCTCAAATAAATATAAAAACTACACTTATTAGCTTTTCAAATCTACTGTTAAAACACACTTCAGAGAAACTACAAATTTTGGAATCAGTGGCCATTGTACACACTCTTATAAGCACCACCGTTCAAAAAATTAAAGTCTTGATTCCTCCGAATTCGATTGATTCTCAAGTTATTATTTGTATTCATCTTATGTAATGGGATTCTATTTGCTGACAGTGTGATGAAAGTTGACGAGTATGTTTCAGTCATGCTTTTATTACAATTTAAACTTGATATTTTGTTTATCTTTTAGAGTTTTAGAACATTTTGATTTGTATTTTTGTGTTGTTTTATTGGATAGGTAAATTGGTGGAAAAGGAGTTTGAAACAACGAAAGAGAGATTTGATGTGAACCAAGGAGAAGATGACTTGGAAATAGGCAAAGAACGCAAGGAATAAGCTAAAGCTGCATGAAAGAGAAGAAAGTTAACAGCGAGAGCAGCACCCAAGCGCTATACATTCAGCGCTCAAGTGCCACTCAATTGCTAAGAAAACAGAGTATTCATGCAGACACGGGGTGCCCAACCGCCACCCCAACTGGAAGAAGCGGAATTTTAACAAAAATCAGGCGCCCCGAGTACTATGTCGCAGGCTTCCAAGCGGCGCCGCTCTTGGGCGCCTAGGTGCCATGCGACGTTTCAGTAGGGTTAATTTTTTAGTCCGTTTAAAAGCCCAAAACAACCCCAATTTGTCTAGCACTTGAAGAAGGCATAAATACAACTCTTGAGAGCACTTCTCAAATACACTTCAACGAGGCAAAATCCAGAGATCAAGCAATTGAGCGAAGGAAACAAAGAGAAGAAGATTGAATCAAACTCCAAAATAGTTTCTCTTTTCTTCTCAGTTTTATTAATCATGAATTTGAATTTTCTTTATTCTTCCATCTTGAACCAATTCTTTCATCTAGGGGATTGATGTAATCAATACTTGAAACTATGTTTTGATTTTCAATAATTATTTGTTTGAGGTTTTTCGTTTAAGTTTATTTGTGTTATTTATTCTTAATGCTTTCAATTAATTGCCCATTGATTGATTGATTTGATGTTTAAGATTTGGCACTCAAGAGAGGGAATCTTGAATTGATAACATGACCTAGATTTTATAGGTTTCGAGAGAGTATAAATCCTTCGAAGCATTTCCACGAAGAACCATAGAACTTAGAATTCTTAGATTTTTGATTCACAATAGAGATATTGGAAAATGATTTCCACTTGGTATTCGAGGGAGAAGTTGAAATATATTAGGGTTCTTGCTTATAAACTTGGAAAACCAATTGGAATTGTATAGAAAATTAAGAAACATAGTTGATAGTGAGATGAAATCAAAACCCTAGGTTTGTCTCTAATTGCTTTAATCCCTAGAAACTTGCTTTCAATCGTTGATTTATTCAAACTATCACATTAGATTTAATTAATTACATTGATATCATAAAAGTTCGATTGTCTAGATCAGCTATTTTCATTATAGTACTTCAAAAAAATTTGATTTTCAATCACTGTGGGTTCGACATCCTAATTTCACCGTTATATTATAAAACTTGACACCATGTGCTTGTGGTATAGTTTGCACTTAACAAGAGTTGCAATGGACATGAGATTATACAATGATAATTAAGAGCACATCAATTTCGTTCAATGACTGATTATTCTAAGGTATAGTTTGTACTTGACAAGAGCTGCATAATCAAAACGTAGGTTTTATTTTAATATTTTCTCTTTCACCATTACTAATAGATTGAAGTTCAACATGTTACACTAGTAATACATTTTGCCTTGCGAAATAACGGAGTTCGACCCAGCTAACACCTAGAGGGGGGTGAATAGGTGTTTATGCGGAATTTAAATTTACTAATTAATAGTTGCAACAATTCACAGTTATTAATTAATATAGATTAATTCACATGTACTACTATCCTATGTTGAATTGCCACACATAATAAATTTCTGAAAAATAAATAACACTTGAAAATTTTTGACGTAGAAAACCCGTAATTAGGTAAAAACTTCGGGGCCCAAGCCAGTAAAAATTCACTACAAACAAATTAACTTACAGTACTCGACTAATTCTAGTACTTTTAGACCTCCTAACTGTAATTTTTGAAGCCCTCCTGAATTGCGTGCTCTTGCACAAACTTTTGAATTCGTTTATCTCCTATGGATTAGTGAGAACTCCTCGTTCTCCAACAGTCGGAACTCTGGTCTCCTTCCTTGATCTTCAGAACTCTGACATGTGTTATGGAAGTAACTTGTTTAGTGTTTGGTTAATGTGTGGTTGATGTTTTTCAATGCAATGATGAACTCAATACGAAGGTTGAATTCTAAGAATGACATGGATGAATTAATCTCTTGTTTCTCTCAATGTTCAATTCTTGTTTTTTTCAAATGGTGGCGTGCATATATATAGTGTAAAGGTTTTGGGAAGTATGTGCTAGATAAAAAACTTAAAAAATGCAAATTAGGTTTTCCTGGGAAACGCTGTCGTGCTCAAGCGACAGCTTAGTGACAAGCGAGCGACAGTGTGCCACTCGAACGAAGTCCAAGTGACAAGCGGGCGATGTAGCTTTTGTTTCTACCGCTCGAGCATCAGTTGGGCAATAAGCTAGTGAAATTGCGATGACACTTTCTTCTGGTTCCATACTCAAACCCTAAGACTTCTAACTAACCACTTTAACACTTTGACTTTTAAAACCTATTTTACAACAATAGTTTTGTTTGCCAACAACTTTAAAACCACCTTGGATTTCAGATTGGTGGTTGTTGAGCTCTCCTTGTGTCACAAACATGACTAATTTTAAGATACTTTAGTAAAGATTAATTCGCGCGATGAATTTTTTTTGGACATGACTTTGGCATGTTAATGGTGAATATTAACCTTTCTATATATATTAATAATACGAAATTTAGACTGATATTTATTTTTCTGTAGCCATGGTATAAAGTAAAACCTGAAACTAGCAAAATTTTTATGGTGAAATTTTTATTGATATTAGGAATACTAACAATTGTTGAAACAGTAAATATGATGCCTAATGTAGTCGTATTGAATTATAATCTAGCTGTCAAACCATGCAAGTGCCAGAATCAAGGATTTAACTATATAAGTCATGGATCTGAACAGAATTTCACAGAATTAAAAAAATTTAATATACAGATTGTAATGGATTTCTTACCATTACAATAAAATGATGTAAAGCTTCTTTAGAAAATAAACAGGAACAAATAAAAATTTCAGTTCTATTTGTAGAATTGAACAAAATTACAATCTACAATATCTAGCAAATAAATACCAAAGAATGAAAATATATTCAAACTAAAATAAAATCATTTTTCAATATAGTGTCAACAATTGTATATAAAAT